ATTGAAGGCATGATTGACTGTTTTCACGGGATGCTTGTAGTAATACTCTTGAATATATTGCTTCAGTGACACGGGGAGATTCAGTTGATTGACACCATCAAAACAAGTTAAACTTGCTATATACGAACGGCAAATATGCTGAAAGGTTTTTATCTTTGTTAATGGTCATGTTCACAAACTGCGATAGAACGATTCAATGAATGAACAATATCAACTATAACTAAAATTCGTTTCATACACTAATGAACACTAATATTTCTCCAAATAATAATTAACACTAATATTCTTCCAAACAATCCTATACAAGAATTCACTTCAATTTCATCCTAATAACGCATCAAATTGAAGAAATAAAGAAATCCGCTACCTGTAGAGAAAACACGAAATTCCTCGGTAATGGTATCGACAGCTGCGGCTCAAAGAAGAGACATCTAAATTGCAAACGAATATCAATTTCAAATATTACATATGCAGACATATCCTATCCTGTACAACTATTGATCTTGTATGCCATTAAATAATTTTATAAATACTTGTATAAAAATACGTTAAGATATTCTCATATCAGCTGAAACAATTAAAAAACAAGCAAATTTAAATACTCATATGGACATTTACGTGAAGACTAATAATCAGAACAACGGCAGTAACGACAAACTTTGCAGGATCGTTGTAATATGCAATCAGATCAATGATGTTATCTGCAGAAAAGATGGAAGTGTCCGAGAAATCGAAACTGAAACGATGGTTCTTCTGCTCGATACGTGCATGAAGTGTTCTTTTGTAACGACGAAATGAGACCGAAAAGAGATATTCTGACTGTGCACTATCACGTAGTAGAAATGTGCCTGGAATGATACTCATCAAAGTCATAAAAATATTCAAACAATAACGATTGCTGCTAAATATAACACATCATTCAATACGATTCAACTCGCATTCAGATCAAATAATCATTCAAATCAAATCATCGTTGCACACACCAAAAACAACGATAGCAATAACATTAACAACTACAGGCCCTCATTAAAGTAGCAGTACATGAAATTATAAGGAAAAACCAACCTTCAGGTTTATTTTCGAGCAATGCTTCTGCTTCGTATCTGTCCATAACACCCCAGTAATAACAAGATGCTGTTATACGATCCTGCTTAGGCACCAAACAATTCGTATAATCAACTGATGAATGCACTACATACGGTTCATCTTGTATTATCACATCACCATTATTATTGCCTATTACAAACATATCTATCCAATAGTTTACAAGAACACAACTTTCAAAAAACAATTAAAATAATTATTCAAAATATCGTCCAATAATAATAAAAATTGAGTCATCTGAATGCGTTTTACTGCCATCTTATTTCAGTTTCACACATCATTTTTTTCTTCAATAAATCATCCCACATTGAATGGAATGAAACTCTTGTGCTAATTTAATAATATCCATAAATCATAGTTACAAATAATGTTGAACACATAACGGTGCTTATGCAATATGAGTTTGCAGGTAGTGAATGGAGGAGGTGCAGAACCTCCAAATTCCCTCCCCCAGTACTTTGTTTTCTTAAAAAGCAAATAAACTTAAAAACTATCATACTCTTTTATAAATATGAGTAAAAAAATAACGATAATAATAATAACCGTTTTGAGTGGCGTATTGTCGTGATGATGAATTAATATTATTGTTGTTATTATTCGACGACGGGTAATCAATGTTTGAAAAAACGGCTAAACGCGACCTAAAGTCACGCGCCACTGACATTATTTGTCGACGAGCACTCTCTTAAATAAAACAAAATGTTGTGATATAAACTTCGATCACATCAATATACAGTATATGATATAGTGAAAAACAACGAAACAAACGGAAATAAATTAACGATGAAAATGAAGCAGTGTTTCAAATCAATCAAATAATTGAACTGACCTCTCGACGAGATGTTTTGCTGGGCTGATGCTCGATTATCATTACCATTCTCACTCGTAGAATTAACAGCATTTTGACTAGTGACTGTATACGAATCATTACTGGCGAATAATCGTTCATCTGACTCCTCCACCTCATCATCACTAACATTCGGTGAAAAGCATGGACACAGAGACGCTCTCGAGAATCTAAACTTTCCACAAAATCAACAGCTAACCTAATTTTACGATATGATAATTGTCACTGATGTGTTTGATAATTTTGATTTGATTTCGTTTGATCAACATCAGTCTGATAAACAATATGATAGGGTAATAATTATTCTATAAAAACAGATTTCGTGTTCATTACTACCATTTGCATGAAGAAACATTCCAAAACATTAATTGCTTCAGAAACTAAGTTAGACAAAGTATGAATCGAACCTTTGTGAAGATGACTGATTTGTTCTATTACTACTGCTATTATTATTATGATCATTATTAACGTGGTTGCTATTATTACCATTATGACGACTTCGTGAAGTAGTGGGCAGATTATTCTGGGTAGACATTATTAATCGACTAATTGAAGATAATGCTGAAAAGTGAACATATTGAATTTACAAAATCATGTTATTGGATTATAAGTTCAATACAGTTAAGAGAACGTTTGTGAAATTGGTTACTTCAACTCAGAAACGACTTTATATCGTCTCCGTAACGAAATTTGCCAGTGGCAAGCATTCACCAGTGCGAAACGATCATATTAATAATATTTACTGACGACCACATCATACTCATTTATTCAGTAAGCAACCAAGTACATGAAAAATCGTCGAACCAGTTATTCAAGTATAACTTGAAGAGCCACCTTTAATTAATTACTTAACGATTATTTGATAACAATCACAAACTTGTAAAGTTACTTTACAAATAAAATTATGAATCATACGATGATTTCGAGATCGATTTATTTGAAGATCGCTCGTTCAAGTTTCGCACTTCGCCAAAGAAACAACAGGCATACAGAGTAGCAATCACGTTACCGTAATCCAATATCCGTATCCAATATCATCCAATTACCGTATCCTAAGAGCATTTGTAGAGCGGACTACTACTACTAAAAAGTTGAATCGTATCCTCCTGATTGATTTTCAGAATCAGATTCAACTCAGGCTTCGACTCCTCAAGCGGAGGGATGGCATAACTCAAGAGGTTGGCAGCAAACGTGGATATAAATAGTAAAAGGAATAAATTATAAACTAACAAACTTCACAATCCATTGAACTGAAATCACCGCTCAGATGTTTCATCGAGTAAATTTATTTAAGAACCAATGAAACACGCTNAACCCTAGCAAAACGACCGCACTTCATCGTGAAAATGCAATCGCTTAGGATTGATCCTTTAGAACTACTTCACTTCACGAGTTGTGAGAGCTTGGGACGGAGACGTTTCCATTAATTGCTGTGTTCGTGTAGCAAATTCGTAGAAATGCTCTTTCACTGCTGTTCCCCTATCGTGACGATTGATTCTGCTCGTTCTCATACCACAATAACGTTTTAAGTAGTCTTGAACTTGTTTTTTTAATTTCTGTTTGCTGTACTTATTCAATTTTTGTGTACGATGACAACCACGAAACAATTCAATCAACATAAAAAAGTTTATGCCAAATATTGTGACAGCAATCAACAAATACAGTAACAATTGTAAATAAAACACACAATCGCAAAAATTATACGATGAGGATTTCAAACAAAACAACATCTATCGCACAATCATGTTCATAGATAATTGTTCCTCGGTTAGAGTCCAAAAAGTTAACGTCAGCAAAAAATCTCAGAGGAACTTACGTCTCTCCCGTTTCGAGATCCCAATGGACCTGATCATTCCAATGCAAATTTTTTTCTTCATCATATCTCTCAGGATACTAAACCGACGAAATACAGTGGATCAACTCAGCTAGCGATCGACCATTTACTCACTCACTCACAATAATGAAACACAATCTTTCAAATTTTTCAAATATTATATAAATCAAATTCGTTAATAAAAAATTGATTAGGTTCTCTTAAAATAAATCAAATAAATTGAAATAAACATTCAATAGGTTCAAATAAACATATATTGAAATAAACATTCATCATTTAATAAACATTTTTCCAATGAGTTCCTTCGATGAGCTACGATCCAACATCAGAACTATTTTCCACATAAAACAATTGAATAAACCAATAAAATATTTGAATTCATGGTACAGTATTAAGTGTTAAAACAATGATCATCGGTGATAAGATCGCATAACGATAATTCATTCGAAAAACAATAATATTGTTGCTTTCTTACTCAAACGAATCTTTATAAACGAATAGCACATCAATAATTTATTCGAGAAACAAACCGTTCATTCGAATGTGCAGATTTACTCAAATAAAAACAAATACCTAACGACTTTTAAAATATGAAAGTCATATTTTCATGCTCGAAACAGTTTATAGTTATAAATCAAATGAAAATGTCATGCGGTAACTCACTGTCAATATAAGCAATCGCATGAAGTAACGATAATAATTCACGCAAAATAACAAACGAGATATTTTACAGACGAGATGAATACTCAATAAAACAACACGAGAATAGTTGTGTTTCTTGCAATAAACAATGTGTAAAGCATGAATGAACTAATGCAAGTTTTAAGGTGATATCAAATGGTCTTGTTGTGCTTATCGACAATACTCAAGATTTCATTGAACATACTGTCGTGCTGATTCACATCGAAGTTTTGGACGATTTGTGAGGCGAGTTGTGTGACGATTTTGTTACGTACATGTTCATTGATACGATGCATCAGCTGATTCATCTCGTCCGCGTTCAGATCCTTCAATTTTGTTTTCATTGTTTCCATAAACGTAGAACTCTTCGCATCCGACGGACCCTGACCGATATCGGTCGCATTTGTCTTCGATGAGCACGGCAACAACGATGACGGTAATGCGTAGGTTGTTGACGAGACGGCTGTCTGAAAAAAAAAACTTTTTCGCATTTGAGATTGTCTTCGAGATTATCAACATTACTGACGGTTCCTGTTGCTTACGGCCAGAGTCGGAACTCGACTAGTGACCGACCACGCGTTCTATGAACAACTGAGATCGGTACACCTTTTGTAATATGACTTGTTTCTCCTGTCTCACAAAAGAAATTTTGACTCAAAATCGCATGGTATACGGACGGATGTTATGAATAATCAATGTGGAGAATAGACTTGAAACCGAACAAACGAACGAATCAAACGAAATATTTCTCACTTGTCCTTCCTCAGTGTCGCATTTGCTCAATGAATTGCCATTTCGTTCAACTGCAATGAAAAACACCATACAAATTCATTCATATCGTACTCGATTAACGTACTTACTTCGTCAAATGACTATAAACTAATTGACTAAATCACTCGTTTTCCCAACAAACACATTCAAAAACAAATAATTTCTCGTATACGCGATAACTAAACAAACAAACGAATAAATAAGCTCGAAATGAACTAACATAATGAATTAGATTGAACAGTGTTCGAAGTATCTGTTGTGGTTGCCGATGTTGTTGCTATGGTGGCTTGAGTTGGTGATACTAATGATCCCTATAATCAAACTACTTTCATTCTACCAGCTCTAATTCTCATCCAATATCCTTATCATAGACCGATGTTAATATTATTAAATCGTGATCATTCGTTTATTTTCTAATTGGTGATAAAAATAAACGATTTCAGCAGCGATGAATAAAATAAAACTCACGGTATTAACAATGGCAGTTGCAGAAGCAATCGGTATCTTATTATCATTGCTATTACTATCACTATCATTGTTATTATCACCACTAACAGTAAGTAACTGTTTTTGCAACGTTAAATGTTGATTGAGTTGGATGTTATTGGCGGCACGTTTAATGATCAATTCACGACGTTCATAAATTCGATATTTCAGTTTCGATGCTAACGGCAAATAACGTTTCCATTGTTGTTTGACTGCGATTCGATTGATGATTTGATACAACAGATTCAGTGGTACTGAGTTATGTTTAGGATATTTGTGCAATATATCCACCAATTCAGGTGCGTACTCCTCAGCAATATACGTCAATCGTGTACGTCTTATGTAGCCAATTAAATAGGTGATTATCTGTTGTTTCACTTTAATGTGAATGCCTTTACGCATTCGAATTTGCTCGGGTATCACTCGGTCGTAGTTCAGCTCTTCCAGATTACCATTGAACGTCATCGATATGCCCATCTCTTCGACGACACGTTTGCGATAGAACGAATTCAGTGGTCCATTCATGTCACGTTCAAATAAACCTTTCAATACTTCGTTCAACCTTTCTGAAACGCATTCAACTTCTCAATTATTTTCTCAACTTTTGCTTTCTGTTGTCAATTTATCAGATGATCGTATTCATATTCGTATCGTAGCCGTCATATTATTAGAATTATTACTGTCCATTCGCTTTACTGACC